CGCTGTGTGTGTGGTGTACTCTGAGTGGGCACTGCAAGTTGTGCTGTCTGGCTGGGGCAGCCACTGTGTACAGCAAGGCTGCTGCTCTGGCTAGACAGCCCCACATGCAGTGCCTGTTCCAGCTTCTCTGTGATATGCGCTGCACACAGTGGGTCCTAAACTGGCTAGAGCCAGCTGCTGGCTCAGGTATGCTGGGGGAGGAGGTGAAAGGATGGGATGGGAGGGGTCTGTGGGCCAAATCTGGCCACAAGACCCTCTGCCCCCCCAGGTCATAGGCCCTTTTTGGATCTGATCAGATCCAGGGGCAGCCCTGGGGCCGGATGGCAGCTCTCCATGGGCTAGATATGGCCCACAGGCCATATGGTCCTGCCAGTGTTGCCTGCAGGCCAACACTAGGAATAAACACCATACATAAGCATTGTGCTGTTGTTGTTCCGGTCATTGCGTGAAGATCTTGTGGGTTATAAATATAAGGGGGGGAAAAAAGGCTCTGAATAGATTTGGACAAGTGTGAACTCAATAGAGATGCATTATGCTAATGTTTGGTAAGTTGTGACGAAAGCTATCCATCTCCTAGCAATGAATGTAGCTATGGTCATAATATATTAGGATTTGTACCCAGTTACAGAAGTGAAGGAACTGAATCTGTTTCATCAAGGTGAAAGCAAGCTGTGAGGTAGTGCTGGATATAAACATGTATTTCAATCCTTAAAATTGGCCTGTCACCATTTAGATCCATTTTTTGTTCTAGAGAGTGAAGAGGTGTGGAAGAGGCACAGAGGTTTGATTTCCTCCAATCCCACTCCTTGCTTCTGGAATCTTTTTTCAGTAGCCAAGAGGAAATGAGAGACAACTGAGTCTACTATCTTTTCCACTGCCTGAGATCTTCTCTCTGTCTTTCAGATACTTAGATCTGTAATTCAAGGACAGTTTCAATGGCAGGTTCAACTTCATTCATCCAGGTTGGATTCAGACAACAGGACTCCTTTTGGGCCACATTTGGATACGGCAGCAGTAGGGTGAGCAGTGGCAAGGATTAATGCATTACATGTGCATTGCCAACAAAGCTCCATGCTTCAGATTTTGGCAGCAGGCCCTGCCCCGGAATTCCAGCTCCACAGGCCACACACCATGACTCTGAAGGCTAGATTCAACCTTTGGGCCATAAGTTTGACACTCCTGCCTTTAACATTTAGAAAATGAATTTTCTCACGTTCAAAGAACGTTAAGAAAATATTCTTAAATTGTTCTGTTACTTGCATTATTTTGATTAATTATAGAACTTGTTCACTGATCATATATTTTTTTTTTAATGTCAGTTTTCCTAATAGTTTTTAAAGACTGTTTTATTTCTTTTTCTGACCAGGGTACAAGATATTTTTTTTTTTTTGACAGCCCTTTCATTAGTCCTTAGCCTCCTGCCGCTGCTTTGGAATGAGCAGCTATTGGGTCCTAGAGCAGCAGGAGAGAGGGAGGGAAATGGAGCTAGAGAAAAGCTGCTGCCAGGTCTGGGCTAGAGAAGTCCTGGGGCAGGAGGATAGGGGCATGTACTGAGTCTCCAAACCCAGCAGCAACCTTTCTCAGATCCCTTCTCTAAAGAACCCTGTCCCTGCTATAACTGCTACAGAGCCAATCCATAGATGAAGGCCTCAGTGAGTAGGGCTGGTCCATGTTCTCAGCCCACCAGCTCTTCTTACACTGTAAGCAAGAGTGAAAATTGTGGAAATGAAATAAATTCAGGTTGATCCAGAGTGCATCCTGCAGGTGCCAGTATCCCATGATACAAATCAATTTGCAGGAATTGGCAATATTGCATATGTAAATAATAGAATATTTTCTAATGGTTACAGCATGGGACTTGTCTGTCAAAGTCTGTCTTTTATTGACATCTTTATTGACCTTGGGCCCTCTGGGTCCCTTTTCTACACAGTTGTAAAATGGAAATAATGTTTACATAAATAAGGGAGATGCGAGTCTTGATGCTTGAGTTGGTTTGAGGCTGATTTGAATGTGCTCTGGGAACACGTACTTTAATAACTTAAGAATAAAAATAAAACTACATAGAATTAGACCACATTGTCATTATTGTTTAAACATCTGTTTGGAATTTTGTGAATCATTAAAATGTTTATACCATGCAGGTCCAAATAGCCAACAGCCAGACTGAACAATACACTTTGTAGAGGTGTTTTGGGTGCTACTGTTGCATTCTAATTTACAATTAGTCGAGACATCATGTGGTCTTAAAGCAGTTTCAGGCTAATGGAACTGGGGTGAATTTTATTTGCTAAATGTAACTTAAACAATGACCACCAAAACAATTGATTCTTCTATAATTCACCCTAATTCAGTTGATGAATCTTTCAGGCCATTATAAGAAAAAAATGCAGAAAACTCCTATTTTTACATTGTAATTATTCATTTTAGTGTAAGAATAAATAGATAAATACGGAATTACATTCAGCTGTATTAAATCTAACACTTGTTGGATCAGTATCAGGACCGTTATCTAGTTGTACAGATCTGGTTTTACCTTGAAAACTCAAGAAAGTTTTTGCATAATGATGATAAACATTTATTGCTTTAATTCTTTTGACATAAGTCTGGAAAGAAATGAGAGAAGCAGAATATATGTGTGGTAAACTTTACCTTAGGGAGGAGTAGTTTTTTTTGTCTAGAATTGCTTTAGGAAACATGTTTTTATTATGGCTAATCAACTTTTTTAGATAAACTAACACTAATAGGATATAAATTTTACAATTATGGTACAAGTAGATTTGGAAACACTGCTCTATTTTAGAATGTAACCTTTTATTAATTATAAAAAATAATGTTTAGTGGGAGGGTTAAGCTCTTGCAAAGAATTAAAAAAAACAAAACTGGGCTAGACCATCCCTCCCATGATGTGGTATACATATTTGCTGGAGCTAATTGGTCTTAGTTTTTGGTGCAACAAGAAAATATCCGCAATCAAGATATCAATTATTAAACCAAATAGGTAAGAGTCAGGAATCACTTGTACTGAAGTAGCTAAATAATACGGCTCTATATCTTCATACTATTTTTGATCTGGATTTTTTTTATTGATTGTTTCAGCAGCAAGGCTTTTAGTAGTTAAATATGTTTATAGTAAAAGTAAGGCCTTGGCTAGGAGTGGAAAGTGGGAGTTCTCCCTTGGGACCTGTTAGTCAAAGTCAAACTGGAAGTGTGATGATAAAATTTTTAAAAAATAGCCCCTTGCCAGAGTTTTTTCTTCTCAGGTACCTGTTAGTGTCCAAGTTTTTTTTTTGTTTTGTTTTTGTTTTCAGTGATGCAGTGGAGAAAGTTGCATGTGAGCATGTAGTGTTCTCCTTGTCAGCACCTTTAAATGTCTTCCATGTTTCTCTCCTCTGAGGGAGGGAGTCCTGCTTATCAGTCACTCATCTCCCATTGTACTTTGTTGCAGAGGCCTATGCGTCACAGGAATTACAGTTTCTTCTGAGTTAAGAGGGAAGGGACTTAATCCATAGGCACCTCAAGGCTTGAGTCCTAAGCACTGGGTGCTGTCCTTCTCGGTTCCCTCTAAATCTGTTAACTGTCACCATAGAACTATTTCTCCTCTAAGATATATTCCCTTTTGTCCCACAACTCTGTTGCAGCTGCACCTTTGGGAGAGATTAGCATCACCCAGAGCAGAGTTTCCCAATCGGTGTGCCGTGGCATTTTGGCTTGTAGCCACGCCCCGCACCTGGCTGGAACCACACCCTCTGCCTGTTGCTGCTGGGACAGCCAGACAAATGTGGGTCATGGCTCCAGCCAGTGATACAACGCCGCTCATCACCCGATCCCCCTCCTTCCTTCCTTCCTCCCCCTGGCTCCACAGTGTTTGGCAACTCGCTACCCCCTTTGCCCCCCGCTCGGCCAGGATGCCATGGGGGAGTCCATGCAAGTGTGCCACAGGGTGAAAAGGGTTGGGAAATGCTGACCCAGAGGATTCTATCCATCATGTTAAGGGAGCTGGTATCTGATTTACCATATTTTATTACAGTATTATATTTACCTTAACAGATGTCAAACCCAGAATTGTAGAAAATTGTGAGAACTGAATCTGAATGTTTGTATTTTGGAGGGTGTTTTTGTAAAGAGAACTATGGCCTGTTAATTGTTGGCATGCTAATTGGATACAAACACATTTAAAGATGGAAGAGAGAAGAGGAGTGAGAGCAAGAGGGTGCACACTAGTACCCTCTTAAGCCAAAAAAGAGCAACAAGTAAGCCTATTACACAAAAAAGTAAAATGATTCCCTGGGTGGGCTGCCAGAAATACATTCAGCTGCCTTTATGGCTGCTTAAAATACACATTTTTTTTGGTTAAAAGACAAGTGTAAAAAGTTGCAAACAAATCAAGGGCAAGATAAAAGTCTGAAAGTAGAGGGAATAAGAATTGATTTCTTTCACTCAAAGCACTTTTTTGTACCTGAAGGAAACAAGTTAGGAGAAGAGACAGTGAGATGAGGGTCCCACTGTCCCTGTCATTTACAGTCATGCTATGTTTATGATTGTTTGAGCATCTGTTTAGCATTAAAATCTTATGCCCTGCAATGTAGAGAAGAACATAACAAGACATCATAGAGACACACTTTAGGTGCTACTAGTACACTTTAATTCAAGACTGGTTAGGTAAGACTTGATTCTCATTCAGTCTCTAGGCACTGAGCTAACTGAACTGTGGTGAATTTTCCTCTTTTAATATAATCTAGAGGCCCCATCAAGACTAGCAAACTTGCTTTATTTTTTACTTCAGGCATAATGTAGGTACCTCTGTTTTAAGGGGAGGTACCATGTCTTTAAGATTTCATTTGAGGGGCATGGATTTTTTTTTATTTTAAAAAAAGAAGGAAAAAAACGGAAAGACAGCCTTCAAAGCTTTATAGCATGTAAGTGTCATGTAAACTACATCTGTCAGTTCTGTTTAGAAAGATATATTTGAAAAACCTGTTCTAACACTAGAAACTTTTCAGGTTAGAAAGAGAGTACTTTTCTACAAACAAGCAACTAAGCGAAGAGATCAAGGAAAAGAAGAAAGTAATTACAGACCTCTCTGTGAGACTTCAGGATAATGAAAAACATTGCCAAGAATTACAGGAAGATCTTGCAATGGTAAGAGAGAAGTCCTATGACATTAATTTCATTGGACCAAAAGGTGATAATGACTATGTAAAAAAGACCAAACAAACAAAAAAAAACCCAAACACCCAAAAAACAAAAACAAAAAACTGAAGAAGGATGTGCATATGGTAAGAGTTGACCTATGATGCATTCAAAAGCTTTGCCACAGTTTGGTTCTTCAGTTCTGGCCAAGTTATTTTGCTTCAGTGCCTTAGTTTTACCCTTGGTAAAACATCCCTAACTTGCAGTGTTAGAAGAAACTATTTGAAAATGTATCTTAAATGGTTTCATTCATTGTATTGTTTTGCTTGTTATGCAATCACTTTGTTTTAACACAGGTTATTAATTATGAATAGCAAATGGATTATCATAAACTTTGTAAAAAGGAGGGACAGTGTGATTGATGGATCTTTCCTTTGGTTCCCTTTCTCTTCCCCATCCTCATTCCTGTTCCCCCTTTTACTCAATTTTCACTTACACACCTCCACTGTGGCTTATTTCTCTGAAAATATCTATGGTGTTAGAATGATTTATGATAGCTTCTTGTAGTTTCAGGTATATACTTCATTTAGTTTTGGAAGTCTTTGACTTCTTACTTGGGTAGTACTTCTAAGTTCTTTTTATTTGTCCTGTCAAGTCATCTCCTTGTTGTTTTTACTGATGCAGAATGTGCCCGCCTCCGCTCTAATAGGTGCTCTCGCGCAGCCTTCGTCCAGGCCAAAGATCTTGTCTGCCCTGGGCTTGCGGGTGGACCTCACAGGCTACCCCTGCTGACGTCAGGAGGACCCCTTAACTCCCCTGCCACGACTTGAAATGGAATTTCAGTGGGGGGTCCCCACTTGGGGCAGCCTCCAGGGCCGTCGTGTTTCCCGGCGGGCACTCTCGGGGCTCCGTCCTCCCCTACACCCCGGCCACTCGCCACCTTAAGCTCTCCCTCTTCTGGCTTCCATGGTGTCCTCGACCTCCCACTCTCTTGCTCCCGACTTGTTGGCCGTCTGTAAAGATCTTCAGGCTCGACGTACAGCCTACTGGGGTCGCCAGCCCAACCCTTCCACCTCAGCTCCTACTATCCTAACCTAGCCACCCTGTGACAGTGTGTGCCTATCCCACCACCAGGTTCTCTAAACTAATTTGACCTGGGGGCCCGCGAGGGGACTCCTGGTCTCTGGACCGTGTGGTTTTTTTTCCTTTCCGGATTCAGGTCCCACCGCCCAGGTAGCTCCCGGGGTTGCCGGATCCCTTCCGCCTCGCCAGGCCACCGGGACCACGAGGTTGGTTGTTCGTCCCTGCTTCGGGACTCAGTCCGTTTGCTAATTCTGCCCCCAACGGGGACCCGTTGGTCCTGCCCCGGTGTTACCTCGCAAAGGATCCCTCTGCAGGTGCTGCTGCCATCTCAGCAGTGGGGGTGACTGTTACTCTCCCCGCCGATGTGGCACCAGATTTCCTCCCCGGGTCTGCTGTCAGTCCCCCTGCCAGCTCCTCCTTCAGCTCTACTGCCAGTGATGCAGCCGGTTCCTTCACCGGCTCTGCTGCCAGTCACCCAGCCAGCTCCTTCTCCGGCTCTGCTGCCGGTGATGCAGTCGGTTCCCTCACCGGCTCTGCTGACAGCCTCTAAGCCGGCTTCTCCACCAGCACTGCTGCCAGTTGTGTGGTCAGCTCTCTCGGGGCCTGCTCTGGCCCTGCCCCTTGTCTGCCCCGCAGCCGAGTGCGGCAGCTGATCCCCTCCACACAAGGGCTTGCTCCTTCGATCTCCTCCCGTCAGCCGCCCTGCTGCCTCGTCGGGGCCACTTTTTATCTCTTCCGGGCAGCGTCCTCCACCCCCGCTGCTCTGCCGCAGCCGAATAAACGCCCGGCTGATCACCCGCGCCGGCGTATTCAGCGTGTGTGCCTCCTCTGGCTCTTCCAGCTCTACGGGAGGTAAGTGGGACTCTTTGCTGCCCCGGGGTTCTTTTGTCGCCCCAGCTCCCCTGGGGGACAGAATTTGGCATGTGGAAGCATAGATCTCTACTGGGTTATTTTCTGTAACTTTTCTTTTGCTGTCCAGCCAATGCTGGTTCTAGGTCTAGGCTAAACACGTGTCCATCTAAACTGCCATACAGCATGGCGGGGACCAAAGATCTACTATCTGGCAAACCTCTCTTCCTGTTGCTTTGGGGGAAGGGTGTGTATGCAAGTGTATGCATAAGTACATCTATACTTGGACATTTGAAGCTGGCTGGCTGACAGGCAGCTAGTTGTCTCCTGTTTTCAAACTGCTGGTCAGCAGGCCACTTCTTGCAAGACTGGTAGGGAGGTAAGTGTCATCTGTTCCCTGCTGCCAATAGGTGTCACACTAGTCAGTAAACAACAGCTTGGGCCTGCATCAAAAGAATCGTTTGGCTCTTTGCAGGTATCTACTAGCTTATCAAAGAAAAGGTTTAAGGGATGAGTTGATTGCAGCATATCTCTGGGAAGAAAATGTTGATTTCATAGTCATTAGGGCTGGAAGGGACCTCAGAAGATCATCAAGTCCAGCCTCCTGCCCTAGGGGCAGGAAGTCAGCTGGGGTCGTAGGATTGCAGCAAGATAAACATCCAATTTTCTCTTGAAGGCATTCAAAGTAGGTGCTTGAACCACCACCAATGCCAGGCTGTTCCAGTCCTCGGGGGCTCGGACAGTGAAGAAATTCTTCCTTATGTCCAGCCTGAAATGGTCTTGCAGGAGTTTATAACCGTTAGACCTTTTTGTTCGTTGGGGCGCTCTGGTGAATAAATGTTTCCCCAGATCCTGGTGGACACCCTTCACAAACTTACAGGTGGCCATCAGATCTCCCATGAGCCTGCGCTTATCCAGGCTGAAAAGTCCCATAACTCTCGGCCTGTCATCATAAAGTCTGTTTTCCTGACCTCTGATCATGCGTGTGGCTCTCCTCTGGACTCTCTGAAGCTTCTCCACATCCTTTTTGAATTGTGGAGCCCAAAACTGGATGCAGTACTCCAGCTGCGGCCTCACCAAGGCCGAGTACAAGGGGAGAATGACATCCCAGGATTTTCTTGAGAAGCATCTATGGATGCAAGCCAGCGTCTTGCTTGCTTTACTAGCTGCAGCATCACATTGAAGGCTCATGTTCATCTTGTGGTCAATCATGACCCCCAAGTCCCTTTCATCTGTAGTGCTGACCAGCATAGCACTGCTGAGCCTATAAGCACGCTGCAGGCTTTTCCTCCCAAGTTGGAGAACTTTGCATTTTTCGGTGTTGAACACCATCAGGTTCTCATCCGCCCATTTCATGAGCTTGTGAAGATCAGCCTGGATCACCCTCCTGTCCTCAGGTGTGGATGCTTTCCCCCAGAGTTTGGTGTCGTCAGCAAACTTGGCCAGTCTGTTTCTGACACCAATGTCCACATCATTGATGAAGATGTTAAACAGTATAGGCCCTTGGACAGAGACTTGAGGGACCCCACTGGTGACCGCGCAGCAAGACAATTGACTTCAGTCAACCACCACCCTCTGGATCCTATCGCAGAGCCAATTCCCCAGCCAGTGGATCGTGGCGAGGTCGAGGCCACAGTTAGCCAGTTTTGCCATTAGGTGATCATGGGATACCAGATTGAAGGCTTTTTTTTAAAGTCAAGATATACAACATCAATCTCTTCCCCCTTGTCCAGGTGATAGATCATCTGGTCGTAAAAGGAAATGAGATTGGTCAAGCAAGACCTACCCACAACAAACCCATGCTGGGTATCCCTCAGGATATTGCCATCAGCTAGTCTGTTAAGGATGGCCTCTTTAATCTTTTCCAAGGCCTTCCCCTGGATAGAGGTCAGGCTGATGGGCCTGTAGTTTGCCGGATCTACTTTCCTCCCTTTCTTTAAGATTGGCATGACATTGGCCTTCTTCCAATCTTTAGGCATGTCACCAGAGCACCAGGAGTTCTCAAAGATCCATGCCAGGGGCTGAGCTATGATGCTTGCCAGCTCCTTAAGTACCCTTGGGTGTAAACCATCAGGGCCGGCTGACTTGAAGGTATCCAGCCTGTCAAGGTGTTCCTTCAGAAGGTCAGCTTTGATGGAGGGCAAGGAATCTCCATCATCCAGGCCTCCCTGACCCACAGTGAGCAGGGGCAACCCATGGGACTGGTGGAAAAACTGACACAAAGTACCCATTTAGCAAGTTTGCTTTTTCATGGGCATCGGTTGTCAGTTGTCCCATCTGGTTTAGCAGGAGTCCAATGTTGCCTTTGCTTTTCCTCCTGCTCCCCACATATCTAAAAAAGGACTTTTTATTGTCCTTGATATTTGTAGCTAGCTGGAGTTCCATCTCAGCCTTGGCTTTCCTGGTTTGCTCTCTGCAGGTCTGGACCAGAGCAGAGTATTCCTTCTCGGCAGTGGTTCCAGTCCTCCCTCCTTTGTAGGTCTTCCTTTTAAGACGCAGAAGGTCCGTCAGTTCCCTGGAGAGCCAAGGGGGCTGCTGTGCCCTTTTGCTGCCTTTCTTCCGAGATGGGATGGACTTTGCTTGTGCATTCAGGATTGCTCCCTTGAGGAGCAACCACTTGTCCTGAACTCCCCTCCCCTTTGGGTTGTGGCCCTTTAGGGCCTCACTGACAAGCCTCCTTAGTTTGTCAAAGTCAGCTTTCTTGAAGTCAAGGACTTCTGTATTACTGACCGACTTGCCAGCTTTTCGGCAGATGGTGAAGGTGATCAGCTCGTGGTCACTGTCACCCAGCTTCCCTTCGATCATTAGGTCGCTGCTTAGGTCATCCCCAGTTGCCAGTATGAGGTTGAGCAGCGCTTTACCTCTCGTTGGCCCGTAGACTTCCTGCGTCAGAAAGAGGTCATCCACACAGAAGAGAGAGCTTTACTACCGCTTGGATTTGGGTGAGCTCTCCTCCCATGAGATATCTGGGCAGTTGAAGTCTCCCATGACAACCATGCACCGGGAGTGCACGGCCTCAGCCAATTCCCTGGCAAACTCCTGGTCAAAGTCTTGACCCTGGGTAGGGGGTCTGTAGT